GTTCAGTGACATCCAATTGAGCAGTGAATAGTTTTGGCTTGAGTGAACCTGTTTTAGACATGGTGATCATGTGATATAAAGGTGGTTGTTCATTAACAGGTGTTGTGGAATGAGTCAAGTGTTCCCCCACAATTGGCAATCAACATAAATGAGTATGGAGGAGTGAGATTGTTGACTGTTGTTAGTGGGGGATTGAGATGTAGAAGGGGTGTGAGGAGTAGTGGTTGAGTTATGAGGAAAAGGATGAGTATTAGGATGGAAGGATGGGGGTGAGGGATTTGGATTTGTGTTTGGTAGTTTAGGAGGTATATGGACAATGGGTGGTGGTTGATGCATAAATGACTCAATGGTATCACTATTGGGATGATGAGTGTTGTTTTTGGAAAAAAGGAATTGTGTTTCATCAAAGATTACATCTATGGTGACAATCACCTTGCCTGAAGGTAAGAGGACTTTGTAGCCTTTGTGCTTAGAGCTGAATCCAATGAATGTAGAGGGTAAGGATCTAGGTTGGAGTTTGTGTTTGTTGTAAGGTCTTAGGTTAGGGTAACAGAGGCAGCCAAATAATTTTGTTGTAGTTTGGTTTGTAACCATAGAGGTGTTCAAGAGGTGAGGAAACGTGAAGTGATTTTACTGGAAGTCTGTTGAGGATGTATATGGCTGCACTAAAAGCATCATCCCACAAAGTTAGAGGAACATGAGAGTGATACAAGAGAGCCAAGCCCATTTCTACAATAGTTCTATGCCTCCTTTCTGCAACACCATTTTGGGCTGGAGTATATGGACAAGAAAGTTTATGATTAATGTCTGATTATGTGAATATAGAGGTGAGTGCTCTAAACTCTCCACCCCAGTCACTTTGTATGGTTTTGATCTTATGATTCAATTGGTTTTCATCAAGGTTTTTAAAGTGCAAAAAGGCCTCTTTGACCTCTGATTTAAGTTTGAGGAAGTAAATTTAAGTGAACTTAGTGTAGTGATCAACAAAGCACACATAGTATTGAGAACCATTAGCTTATTTGATGGGTGAAGGTCCCCAGATGTCAGTATGAACAAGCTCAAGAGGACATGAGTATATAGTATCATAAGTAGAATAAGGCAAGGAATGACTTATAGCTTGTTCACAAGAACATCAAATAAATTTATCATTCATAAAAATTGAAAGATTACATGATCTCATAACCTTGGAAACAACATAAAGGGCAGCATATCAAAGTCTAGAATGCCATAAAGCTAAATCATTTTTCTTATTGAAAGTAGCAACATTTGCAGAAATTAAAGGAGATTTGGATAACTTCTTGGGCTGATTTGGGGTAGTGGTGGAACAGTTGATATCAAAGCTGTAAAGTCCCCCTTTAAGTGAACCTTGAAGAAGTACTTGGTGAGTGTCCTGATCCTTTACAAAGCAAATGGTAGGAAAGAATTCAAAATAAACTGAATTATTATGAGCAAATTGAGAGACAATAAGTTTTTGGTGATGTGAGGGATATAGAGTAAGTTTTTGAGTAGAAAATGTCTGGTTGGGTGTGAAGGTGTAATGAACTTAGAATTGCCAATATATGAGATGCACAAACCTGAGCCATTACCCACATGGTGCCTGTTGTGGCCTTGATATTCTGATGAAAGGTTCAGGTTAAAGAGTTCATAGTGACATGGTTGGAGGCACCTGAGTCAGCAAATCACAAAGAGTCCTAGCTTGAGTCAGAAGAGGTAACAAATGCATTGAGGTGTGAAGGCACTGAGTTGAGAGGTTGGGGTAGACTCTGAGCGTTGGCAGTTTGAGCCTGCATATTTGTAGGTGCTGGATATGTTGAGTCATATATGCGAAAGCACCTCTCAGTTGTATGGATGTTGAAGCCATAGAGTTGGCAAAAAGGGCATGTTGGTGTTTCTATAGCCTCGACCCCCACGGCCTCTGTAGTTGTTAGAGCGGCCTCTGTCTCTTTGAGAAAAAGATCCCCTTTGGTTGTTATAGGCAGTGAAGGTTGGTGAGTTTCTCTGAGCAGTGGGGTTAGTGGATGTGAGGTTAATTAACACTTGGCAGAGAGCCATCTGGGTTGACTATGGTCTAGGCTCCAATATCTAGCCTTGACTCCAGGCTGAGGAGCATAGCATACACCTCATTGAGTGAATAAGGTTCCACTCTAGAAGTCACAGCTAGGTTGTATTCACTTCCTAAGCCAGCAAGGATATAGAGGATGTGATTCTGATCAGATACAAACTCATCTGCTATGCCAAGGCTATCACAACATGCCTTAACCTTGCCTAGGAACTCACTCATTTAACTAGAGCCCTTTTTAAGGGTTTGAAGTTAGAGTTTGTGATGCATAAGCTGTGCCTTTAAGAGACCAGATAAGTTTGCTGCTAAGAAGAGCCACATATCCTTTGATATGTTCTTGCCAACCATCATGATAAGGAGATTTTCACTCAAGGAGGATAAAAGTTGGGATAAAAGGAACTGATCTTGCCTTAGCCATGCTGCATATGCTGGGTTGAGGGTGGGTGGGTTTGTGCCATCAGTGGATAAGAACCTCTCTAGTGGATGAGAATCAGCATCAATGAATTTTTCAAGGCCATAGTCTATTATGGCACTAGGTTTGTTGTTTCCGAAGGAGATAATTTGTGTCTGTGAGTTTTATAGATATGAGTTGGTGTTTCGGTTGAATGAACGATGGAGTGGTGGGAGCAGTGGGGTTGGATGTGCTCTCTGAGGAGGTTTGAGATGCCATTGCAGATGATTTGAGGTGAAAATGCAGATCTGATGAAGCTATGCACTATGGTTTTTAAAAACAAAAAATGGAGATCTGGGTGAGAATCTCGAGTAAATGATAGGTCCCAATGATTAATTAATGTTCTTGATACCATGATAGGAAACATAGAAGTAAATATGAAAATAAAATGGAAAGAGAAAAAGAAAACATGCTCAAACTGTGATCATCTATTTTCATCAAGAAGTGTACATTTGCTTTCATTGTTCATGGTCTCTAGGGTTCCATATTAGGCAAATATTTATATGTACTAACAGCATGATCCTACGGTTCTCCTTCACTCTTCACCGTCTACATCTTCATGCTTTCTTCTTTTTGCTTTAACTGATTTTCTTTGATCTTCATTGAGCTCACAATTCTTTTCTTTTTTATGACATGGCCGGTTTCTCTTGTCTGCTTGTGTAGTATGGCTTGCATGTGGGTCATGCACGTTTGCATGCAACCCATATATGCTATCATTTTGCAGTTTTAAGAAGCTCATTTTCAATTGAACTTTTTTTTTTCGAACATTGTTTCTGATGTTTCATTACCATGAAAAATATTGTTTTAACACATACTTGATCATCACCGTCATCTTAGTGTCATCATTGTTTATGTCTTCTCCCCAAATTGAGTCATCAACCGAGGCACCAGGCCCACCCTCCAAGTTGATCGATGTTGCGGTGCACTTGATAAAAACCTTGTAACGCTCACGATAGAAAAGGAATCCCTACGAAGTAGATAAATTTTTTAGCGTTGATCTCATGTGTATTAAAATTATTTTTTTTATTTTATTTTTTGTTACGACCGCGTCGGAAAAATACATGAACAAACTAAAATTAGAAACCAATTTACCTCCTCACCCACATACAACTAGTACATGTGGGTAACACAAAACAAAACCAGCAACACCACGCAATAAGATGCTTGAAATCATCAATAAACTTGAAAATTCATTGAAATATTCAGTGTATCATTCCACATACTAGGGCAATAGAATACTCGGTCCAATCTACGCTACAAATTATGGGTAGTAATAATGGTGGTATATGTACATCTGCTCAATAAATAAATACATGTCATTTGCCAATTTTTTTTACGTGAAAAATCAGTAAATCAAAGCGGTGCGTAAATTATGCGAATAATATACGAATTTCATCAGATATGTGATTCATGATATGGATCAGCGAAAAAATGGCGGATTGTCCTTATGCAACTTTTGATTTGGATGTGGGATTATTGAATATGCAAACATATTACACATAATCGTTAGTTATCCGACATTACATAATTGCATATGCGAGTCGTAAACTATGCAAAAATATGTTTCATAATCATAAAATATGGGACGCTTGATTTGGATATTCAATGCTTGATTTGGATATGTGATAACATAAATGCTAAACTTTATCACGTATGGTATGGTATTAAGCAGTGGATTTGAATATGTGAGTCATAAACTATGTGAAAATATGCCGTAATCATAAAATATGGGACGTTTGATTTGGATATGTGATAACAGAATATGAAAAATGTTACCGCATATGGTAAATTATGCGGTGAATTTGGATATGCAAGTCGTAAACTATGCGAAAACATGTCGCATACATAAAATACGCGACGTTCGATTTGGACATGCGATAACAGAATATGAAAAAAGTTCTCGCATATGGTAAATTATGAGGTGGATTTGGATATGCGAGGCGTACACTATAAAAAAACATGTTGCACAATCGTAAAACAAGTGACTATCAATTTTGAATATTTGATAATTATATATGTGAAATAATTTCGCATATCGTAAATTATGTAGTGGATTTGGATATGCGATTACAACATATACATAAGTATTTCGCATAATATTTAACTATCCATTAATTTGGATATGCGTTCATATATATGTGACAATATCTCACATAATTGTCAATTATGCGGCTCATTTGGATGTGCGATTTTTATGCCACGTATCATTTGGTAAGTTTTGAGGTGAAAAAAAAAAAAAAAAAATGTAGTTTGATGAAATATGTGTAAAAGAAAGACTATATATAATGAGGTTAAAAGAAATTGTCCCCAAAAAAAATATCTTCCATTCTCTACTCAATTATACTCTCCTATTGGCTTTATACTAAATATTTCATATTAATATATCTGCACACTTCATGAGAAGAGAAAATTCAAAAGGAAAAATATCATCCAAATAAAGTAGACACATAATACGTACATATACATAAGGATTGAAATCAGTCGAATAAAATGTTGTCCCAGATTTCGGCATCATTTAGTCACACCTCCTCTTCCCTCACCGTCGCCACCACCGCCTTCTCCTTCCGCTCATCTTTCCGGCAGAAAATTTATTTTTCCCCCTTCAACCGCTGTAGTTTACGGAGGCGCCACTTATCCACCGTCGATTCGATGGAGAGAACTACTCCCGCCGCGTCCGCCGTCGACTCTTTATCGGAGGATTTGAAGAATCAGAGGTTGCAATACAATAACGGCGGCAATAACTGTGACGTCGTTAGAAATGGTACGGATGTTGATTATCTTAGGCAGAACAGGGTTAGGTTAAAGCTGGAAGAATTGAAGTGGGACCATTCGTTTGTTCGTGAACTTCCCGGTGATCCCAGGCTTGATACGATCCCCCGAGAGGTTTGATTCTATTAAATTCTCATATCACATGAGCTTTTGGGACTAATTGTAGATGTTGCTAGGTAGATTATTCTGTTTCAGGTTATCCGTTTAGAAGTATGACCCTTTGAATTTGGGAAAAAATATTGCTATTTAGATTTTCAAGTCATATATCTACGCGGGGTGTTTTTCTTGATCTATAATATGTTTAAAGCAGGATTCTTTTGCATTTGACAGAAGAACAAGACACATGACTTATTGGTAGCTTATGTCTCATAGTCTCGAGACATTATGATTTTGGTTCTAATTATTCATCTGGTGGAAGTAGATTTTTTTTAGTTCTGGTTGTGCTTATAGATCCTTCGAATGTATGAACTTCATGCCTCCTTAGATGGGATGTGGAGAATATATTCGGAGACTTTGTTATTGGTGTGATTTTACTCGTGAACACTTTATTAACCGGTATACTGGATGCCCAGTAATATGTGCTGATGGCATTTTATATGCAGGTTTTGCATTCCTGTTATACAAAAGTATCTCCATCGGCTGAGGTTGATAATCCTCAACTAGTTGCATGGTCGGATTCCGTCGCCGAGCTACTTAATTTGGATCCTAAAGAGTAAGATTCTGATTGGTTGACGATCTTTTCATTCCTTCCCATTGCAAAGACAGTGGTGGGAAAATCCTTTCGGAAAAATAAGAAAGAATATGGATGGTTTGGCGGTTATGAGATGGAAATGTAATGATGTAATGTGATAGTTGATGTGATTAGTTTTTAACAAAATAGTGGTGGTTAAGTTTGACTGATGATTAGAATTGTAATGGTGTGAATTGTTGATATAATACTGTTTGAGAATGAGATGAATAGTGTAAGTCCTGAAAGTCGTTCCAGGACTTTACATTCAGAGTAAATAAAATGGGGTTTGTTAAAAGTTCTACTATATGATAACACAAGCAATGATTTAAATCATAAATTGTTTAGTTTTGCACTTTTGTCTGATTTAAATGACTCACAATATTGCTCTCTAAGAAGTTCTGTACACTTATTGACTCAACTTTTTTGTCTATTTAATCGTTTGTGTATTTTCAGATTCGAGAGGCCTGATTTTCCCCTGTTTTTCTCTGGGGCATCACCCTTACCTGGAGCGTGAGTTTATATCTTCCCTTTCTTCTCCTTTATTTCTTTCTTTTCCCTTCTGCCCTTTTCATTCCATTTTCCTTTTTTTTTTCCTCGTCAGTTTTCTTTCCTTAAAACTTGCTCGAATTTTATGTAGGATGCCTTACGCTCAATGCTATGGAGGACATCAGTTTGGGATGTGGGCCGGACAGTTGGGTGATGGTAGGGCAATTACATTGGGGGAGGTTCTTAACTCTGAGTCTCAGAGGTGGGAATTACAGCTTAAGGGTGCTGGAAAGACACCATACAGCCGGTTTGCTGATGGTCTTGCCGTCTTACGTAGTAGTATCCGGGAATTTCTCTGCAGTGAGGCAATACACGGTCTTGGAATCCCAACAACACGTGCTTTGTGTTTAGTGACAACTGGAAAATACGTTACCCGAGATATGTTCTACGAGTATGTTCCTTCATCTTTCAATTTGTAGTATGTTGATTGTGGTTAGAAACAGTGTAGTGCTATGTGTATCTGTACTGCATACATCCTTCTTTTCCATGGAGGCAACTAATTCTTGATCTTTTTCTTTTGGATAATTACATAAAGTACCCTTGAAGTTTGACCTAATTTGAAAGAAAAAAAAGAGAGAGAGAGAGAGAGAGAAAAAAAAAGAAGAGGAAGAAGAAGAAGAATGTCTGTGCTTGAGAATTACAAAATATATCCCTGAGTCCTGATCTAGTGTTAGAAGGTGCAAATGATGTTTTCATAAATGCATTTATTTATTTATTTATATTTTTTGAAAAAATTATTTCATATGAAGAGGCTAACAAAGTTTCATGGATATTTTTGTAATTAGTTTCATGGATATTTTTGTAATTGAGTTAGATAGCTGGACATTTTCTGTAGTTATGTCGAACTTCAAGGGTTTTTCATATCTTTATAAATTTTCTCCTTAAATATCTGGGAGGTTTTAGCTTGAGACCAAAATTTGAATTTCTTAAGGTTCATATATATTAGTGATAAAACTGGTAAAAAGACAATGTTTCCACAGTTGACAATAGTGGGTTCGTTTGCATTCAGTGGCAACCCAAAGGATGAGCCTGGTGCAATTGTCTGCAGAGTTGCTCAATCCTTTCTACGTTTTGGTTCATACCAAATACATGCTTCAAGAGGGAAGGATGATCTTGCTATTGTCCCCATGTTGGCTGACTATGCCATCAGGCATCATTTCCCCCATCTAGAGAACCTAAGCAAAAGTGAGAGTTTATCTTTCAGCACCGGTGAAGGAGACGATTCGATTGTGGATTTGACTTCTAATAAGTATGCAGGTAAATTTTAAATTGATGGGTTTACTCACAACTCTTTTGATGTGCATCTCATTGTAATTTGTCTGTTAGATGATAACCATATTTCAGGTCTTATCGTTCGAAGGCCAACCATTGTCACTGTTTGGTTGGAGGAGTTTGTTTGCTTGTAGTCTCTTTGCTATTCACCGATGTTTACTAATGGGTTTTATAAATTGCTGATGATTTTATACATTCTTCTCATAATTAGTTCGGTTCATTGAAACGGAATTCCAAACATGTATTGCCGAAGTAACTCTATTTTAGGGTACAAATGAAGTTAATTATGGGATGAATAAAATGCGATAGCTATAATCATAAATATATATATATATATATATATATATATATTATATATCCTTTCAGTCTTCAATCTCCTTTTCAACTTCCTTTTTCCAGATATTATATTGTATTTGTTTCGATTTTTGCATTTGGGTCATAGAAATGTTCTATTTTATTCTTACGGCTATTTTACCGTATTGGTCTGTTAATAATTGTTGCATAATGTATGATAATTATCAGCTTGGGCGGTAGAAGTTGCTGAGCGTACAGCCTCCTTAGTTGCAAAGTGGCAGGGTGTTGGGTTTACCCATGGGGTGCTCAACACAGATAACATGAGTGTGCTGGGACTCACCATAGATTACGGTCCTTTCGGTTTCTTGGATGCTTTTGATCCCAGTTTCACTCCAAACACTACTGATCTTCCTGGCAGAAGGTACTGCTTTGCGAATCAACCTGATATTGGTTTGTGGAATATTGCACAATTCTCCACGACTCTGTCAGCTGCCCAATTGATAAATGACAAGGAGGCGAACTATGCCATGGAGAGGTATTAATGGCTTTTCATATTTCTTTACCTTAACCGTTGGGTAGAATAACGAACCCAAGATGATGTTTGCAGTAGTTACAAAAACCCCAGTGAGTTGAGGTTTGCTTCTGTTTTGAATCAAAGGAGGTGACTCTAATATTTTTATTAATGTAATGAGTATGTTTGCAATGCTCACAGGCCGTTTCTGTAATCAAACTTCAGTTAAATTATTTGTTTTTGTAATCAAATTTCACTTGGATTATGGTTTTGTGATAATTACGAAAACTAACCCTGAGGAACGTAATTACAATAAACCACAGGAGTTTTGGAATTGCAGGAAAAAAACATGAGGTATGATTACCCATGAAATTCATGGGGCTTGACTATACTATGATGAATGTCATGGGGTTCTTTTGAAATATATCTCGCACAGGGGGGATATTATGATAGGAGATCCTGTTGGATTTTTTGTGACTTTGTTATTTCTATTTATTTCTTCTATCATTTCATTTTTCCTTTTGTTTTTTTGTACATATTATTTTTACCATGTTGACTTTCCTTGTCTCCTTGTTAGATATGGAACGAAGTTCATGGACGAGTATCAGGCCATTATGACCCGAAAACTTGGTCTGCCCAAGTACAATAAGCTGTTGATCAGTGACCTTCTGAAGAACATGGCTGTTGATAAAGTCGACTATACAAATTTTTTTCGGTTGCTTTCTAATGTAAAAGCTGATCCCAACATTCAAGAAGATGAGCTGCTGATCCCTCTGAAGGCTGTTCTGTTGGATATTGGAAAGGAGCGGAAAGATGCATGGACTAGCTGGGTGAAGTCATACATCCAAGAGGTATTTGTGCAACACGTTTTTGTTGATTTAATTCTGTTTTATCGTTCCACATAGGTAAATATTTATGAAGGTTATAGATATTATATGAATTATGGTAATGAAATTCTGTGTACAGAAAGTATTGGTTCACGTCGGTGCTTTTTTCAGTTTTGTTTGTCCAGTTAAGATTTTATCTAATTGAAACAAGAAATGAAACTTTTTTTTTTTTTAATGAAACCTTTTCCACCTCTTTTCAAAATATTGTTTTGCTTAAACCACCGATTAGCCTGTTTTTAATTTTTATCCATCACAAATGGTTCATTTTGTCCCATACCAGCTTTTGACCAGTGGCATTCCGGATGAGGAGAGGAAAATATCAATGAATTCGGCAAATCCCAAGTACATCCTCAGGAATTATTTATGCCAAAGTGCAATTGATGCAGCTGAGCAAGGCGATTTTGAGGAGGTCCGCCAACTACTAAAGGTTATGGCAAGGCCGTATGACGAGCAGCCCGGGATGGAGAAATACGCCCGTTTGCCCCCGGCTTGGGCTTACCGTCCGGGCGTATGCATGCTTTCCTGCTCTTCTTGATCAACACATCACACAGTGTAATAATTATATGTGTACATAAAAACACATGTAAGCTGTTCTTGCTTTGGAAGGACTCATGGATTGCTGTAAACCTTAAACTTGAACGGTGCCCTCAAATCAGATGGTATGATTGTGAGCATATGAATAAGAACCTTATCACCAGCTTTGGCATCGGTGAAAATTCTGAATTCCAGGACATGGCCGGTGAGCTTAGTAATAACCAAAGGCGTACTGTTGTACAAACCGTCCATGATCAATGTTTCTGAGCAGCATCATAGGAGTGTCGACCTTCAAGCGCAATTTATGATTCAGAAGTACCGAGCACTTAATCCCATTGAGAATTTCAGGAGTATGAAGATCTTAAAGAGAGTCATATTCAGCGTCTGACTTGCAAGGGGTGTCTGAACTCAAATAAGTCCTTTACTCATATGAGTTCAAATAACTCATGTACTCGTTAACGGACTCAACCCCATCAACTGTGGGAACGAGTATGACTCTGTCCTTGAGATAGCTAAGATCGTTTCCTGAACTCTTGAACATCGGGTAAGTACTCTCAACAATAGTAGCAATAGGATGATTTTGTTACTTAAAAAATATCGTCGGGAATGTCGATATCGACACAACTGTCATTCAATCCACGGACTGTATCGTTGCCAATGCTTGCAAGCCACTCTGAGAAGCGTCTCAACTCATCGTACTCATCACCCCCACCAAGGTTTCGAAGCCCATATTCCAAGCAGTCTCAAAATGACATAATCGCGCCATATTTAATGGGTAAATATTTAGGTATTAATTTAATTAAAATAAGATATCTACGTTAATTTGCCTTTATTTTTAAATGATCACAAATATATATTTTAAATTCCATTATATTATGCATCCATTAAATTTACAAAAAAGTTTATTTCGTTTGTTGTTAATAATCAGTCAAATCATGTATATGGGCGGATGTATATGGGTTAATTGAGCATGATTTATTTTCAACTAAGGGTATACATATGAACATTTTATTATAAATACTTGTTTATATAATCATCATATTTTTTTAGTACTAATGGTTATTAAAAATATGAAAATCATTCTTTTTTTTTTTCTTCAAGAAATTCAACTAATAATTTACAGTTTTGCAAAAATAATTTATGGAGCTGGTGCAGGGATCTGTATTGTAGATGATGTTTTTTTTAAAAAAAAAAAACATTTTGGATTGTATTCATATAACAATTTGATATGAGATACTATACCTAAGGAAGTAAACTAGGCCAGTCAGTCGGTCCAACAAACTGTCATGATCGAGCAAAGTAAGAAAGGGTTCATCATGGTCGAACATCACAAGAACAAGAGTCCTTGGATTGAAAGACAGCTTACAGTTGATTCCAGCACACGGAGAACAGATTGATCCCTAACCCATGGAGGATCTGGTCGGGGATCGATCTGAAGCGCGGTGGTAATTTGATCGACCATTTCCTAGGCTTGGAGTAGCCAGTGGATCGACCTAGATGTTGTCGAGCATGAGAACCTTCGAGGAGATTCTAGAGGAATCAAACCCCTACTTGCGGAGGACACGTGGCATGACCTGATCGATCCATATAGCGTAACCGTCTCTGACACACCTCTAGTGTGTGTTGTATGACTGGGCAGGCTGAGCAGCTTTGGGAAGCCACCTCAGCTCATCTGGACAGCAGGTATCTTACCCAAGGTTCAGAAAATTAGGATTAAGCGTATGATTCCACTCGCTTCCACGCTACGCGGACGATTCACGTGTCGCTTTGGGCCAAAAGCGCCCCCAAGGCGTCGCGACCGCTTCAGCGTGCCTAGGCGTTGGCGAAGCGTGCGTAGGCGGCCAAGGCGGAGAAAAGCGGAGCCGAAGCGCCGCAGAAGCGCGATTGAGGCGGGGCGGGAGGTCCAACTGCAAAGCGCAGGAACAGCAAGGCGGGAGTTCCCAATCGCGCGCGCGAACCGCAAGGAGATAAAAGAAAAGAGGAAGTCATTGACTAGGGTTGGAGTTTGACTGGTGGAGACTGGAGAGCAAGACCATCCTGCGCCTCCGAACCAGAGGTTGACATCGACCTCGTTGTCTTCCTGCTTGACACCCGCACCTCCGACACCTACGCCGCCGAACTCCCTGCATCAGGCAAGGTGAGCATCTGCATCTCCCTCCCGAGTCCTGAGTCCCCTCCTCGACAACTCCATTTTTTCTCTTGTCCTCCCTCCTCTGGTTCTCCAATCCGGCAATCCCTGCTTTTCTCGTCTTAGTCTGCATTTGGTTATTATATTCCTGCTACATCTCGATTGCCACTGCCCACTAGCATTTGGTTATTCGTGTATCTGGTTTGGTGATTGGATGATTGTTTTGTATAATAGTGTAGTACAATTAATATATTTCTTTAACTCGGGATTGTGGCAAACTATAATATATTGCTCCTCCCTGCGTAAAATATTATGCCACCTCTGGATTGCTCTTTGTTTGTTCAGAGTACAGATCAATAGATTATTATATATGGCTAATTGCTCATTGTTTAGATAATAGATTAGTTAACTGAATAGAATATTGCTAATTTTCTATGCCTAATTACTCCTGGACCCCTGGTACAATCTTTTTGTTGATTGGTTGCATGTTTGGCTGCCTGCTTTGCACATGTAGGATGGAACCACCTAGTTCTGGACAGCCAGCAGCAGTGGAGAAAGAAAATGTTTTGAAGAGGAAGTCAGATGATGTTGGATGGGATTATGGGTTTCTGGTTGATTCTACCAACATGAACAAGGTGAAATGCAAACTTTGTGGCCATGAGAGCTCGGGAGGGATTTATCGTCTCAAGCAACATATAGCTCATGTTGGGACTACTGTGGCCAAATGCAAGGACAACAAACCAGAAGATAAAGATAAGTGCAAGAAATCACTTGATGGAGCAGCAATGAAGAAGAGGGAAAAGATTGTTCGTGAGCTAAATCTTAGAGAAGATGTGAATGTTTCTCGTGTTGAAGGAGGTACAGAGGAAGAAGTTACTTGTATTGGAAGCACAAAGCCCCACAATCTATGGCCTATTGATAAGTGGACAAGGCCAATTGATCCTAAATCAACACAAGCTGAAGCCTTGAAGCAACAAAAGTTAAACAAAGAACTTTGGAAGCAGAGAACACATGAGGTGCAGCGGTATGTTGCAAGATGGATGTATGCACATGGTAATTAATTAATAACACCTACTGCTATTTACTTTTCTATATCTATGTAATCATCACTATTGCCATTTTTATATGCATTGACATGGTAACCAACATTGATTTGCATTATTTTTCTCTGTTTTACAGGCGTACCATTTAATTTATTGACAATGATGAGTTCTTACAAATTTGTGAAGCCATTGGTCAGTTTGGTGTTGGATTTGAACCTCCTTCTCATGACCAATTAAGGGGTGGTTTGTTGGCTGAGGAATATTCAAGGACCAAGAGTTTGCTGTTGGAGCGTGATGCTGAAAAGATAAAGAATGGGTGCTCTGTCCTGACTGATGCTTGGTCAGATAAGAAGAGGAGAAGCATAATGACCTTGTGCACAAACTGTGCTGATGGAACAAGTTTTATCAGCTCAAAAGATATGTCGAATCTGTCACACACAAGTGAAGTCATCTTTGAACTAGTGGACAAAGCAATCGAAGAAGTTGATCCCGATAATGTGGTGCAAGTAGTGACAGACAATGCTTCTAACAATATGGGAGCAAAGAAATTATTGTTTCACAAGAGACCAAACATCTTTTGGACCTCTTGTGCAGCTCACACAATTAACCTGGTGCTTCAAGGAATTGGTAGCCTAGAAAGGTTCAAGAACACAATTGACCAAGCAAAAGCATTCACCATCTTTGTCTATGGGCATACAAGAACCTTGGAATGCATGAGACAGTTCACAGAGGGCAAAGAAATCATAAGGCCAGGAGTAACCAGATTTGCTTCAGCATTTCTTACTTTGAACAACATTCTAGAGAAGAAGGATGAGCTAAGGAAGATGGTGGTTCACAGCAAATGGGACACATTGAGAGAAGTGAAGTCAAAAAAAGGAAAGGATGCAACAACAACAATGATGAATCCAGATTTTTGGAAAGCTGTGAAGATGTGCTTAAAGGTTTTTTAGCCTCTAGTAAAAGTTCTTCGTTTGGTTGATGGGGATGTGAAGCCATCTATGGGTTTCTTGTTTGGAGAATTAGTGAAGGCAAAGAGAGAGATCAAGCAGGCCTATGGCAATGTGGAGTCTCGCTTCAAATATGTCATGGATATTATTGAGAAGAAGATGAAAGGCCGGCTTGATTCTCCATTGCATGTGAGTGCATACTTGCTGAATCCATATTACAGTTATTCTGACAATTCAATCTTTGATGATGGGACAATAACAGAAGGGTTTATCACTTCTGTTGAGACCTTCTATCATGATGATGAGGACAAACAAGATCATGCTGTAAACACTGAATTAAGGAATTTTCATAATAGAGAAGGTCCTTTCTCGAAAAAACTTGTTAGGACTTGTCATAACTTCGATTATAACCCAGGTAACTTAGTTCTGCACATCAGCCCCTTGAATTATTAATGGTTTTTGAATTGCATTTTAATATGTAAAGTGATTATCTATTTCTTTCAGCTTGTTGGTGGAAACTCTATGGAACAGAGACACCAGTCTTACAAAGGATGCTATGAGAATCCTCTCATTGACTTCAAGTTCTTCTGGTTGTGAAAGAAACTGGAGCATTTTTTATTTGGTTTGTCAAAAAATTTCCAATCTCATTTGAATATTCAGTTTAATCCCTAATATTCAGATTAAATATTCATTCTTGTGTTCTAATGTTTGATTTGTAGATACATACCAAGAGAAGAAATAGGCTCACTACAAGTCGCCTCAACTCTCTTGTTTTCATCCAGTTCAATTCAAAACTCATGACCAAGAGACAAAAGATCAAGTCCAAGAAGATCACTGATGTCCTCCTATGCAGTGAACTAACTGAAGTTCAAGGTTTTCTATTTGAGGGTGGAGATGATTGTGCAACTGGTGTCTATACGGATGAGGATGAGGAAGAGATGCCACGTACAGGGATGTCTGGGTTTAATATTGAACAAGGGATGGGAGCAGGTGAACTACATCGGCAACGTCGAACCAGAAGAATAAGAGAGCTTTATGAAGGAGAGGAATTCGAGTCAGAAACAAAAGAATTTGATCAAGAGGATGACATGGATGAAGATAAATATTGAGGGGATGCTGGAACAATGGCATATTTTGTTATGGTTATGGATTTGAACTCATGGCTGGGGTTATCGGGTTGATGCGTTGTGATGTTCAATCTATTATTTTTGAACTAAGTAGAAACTTTAAGTTGAACTGCTTGTGGAATGTAATGAAATTATGACCAGCATCTAATGGGCTGTCAACTTCCATTTGTTACTGTCCTTTATGCAATGCAGTGCCTTGTGGGCTGTGGCTTTATGATCTTGGATTCCACAATTGTTGGATTTGGCGGTGCTACAGTACAAAACGCTTAAGCACGCCTTGAAACGCTTAAGCACGCTTACGCTCTAGGCAGTGGGTCACCGTCTGCTTAACGCCTAGCGCTTTTTGGAACCTTGATCTTACCCTTATTATGGGGATGAGCCTTATGATTTATGCATGACTTATCCATTACACTCTTGAGACTTGAGTAGAGTTTATACTGACTTAAGCATCGAAGGCTCTTTACTAGAGAACCCTTCCGGTGTGAGAGTTTTTGCAAGTACTCGGCGTTCTACTTGCGAGGAAGACAAAGATGATCAGATTTCTAACTAGTCGGAGTGTTTGATGTGCCACTATTACTTCTTTTACATGTGAGTAATCAACATAGAAATTAAATAGAAAATTGTAATCATTCAAACTTAGGCCTCGTTTACTAGCCTTGATAGGATGGGATAAGGTTGGTTTACCAACATTATCCCTCGTTTACTAAATAAGATTGGGGTAAGGATACATATGACATGACATAAGTTGGCGCACACATGTATCCTTGTTGGTGGAATAAAAAAAAATAATAATAATAAAAAAAAAAAAAATCCGGCCCTTATGGTGTGATAAAATTATTCTTTGTCTTAAATGAACTTTATTTAATTTAAAATAATATTACTTATTTAAAATAATTTTATTTAATCTAAAATATTTTTATTTAATTTAAAATCATATTATTTAATCTATAAAATATTAATTTAAATAAGTTCGTTTAGTTTTATAAAATGTTGTTTAATATAAAATAAGTTAATTTAATTTAAAATAATATTATTTAATTTATAAAATATTAATTTGAATTATTTTATTTAATTTAAAATAATTTTACTTAATTTAAAATAATATTATTTAATATGAAATAATTCAATTTATTCTATAAAATATTAATTTCAATATTTTTATTTAATTTCAAAATATTTTTTAATATAAAATAATTTAATTTAAAATAATATTATTTAATTTATAAAATATCAATTTAAATAAGTTTCTTTAGTTAAAAATAATATTATTTAATCTAAAATAATTATATTTAATTTAAAGTAATATTATTTAATCTTTAAAATATTAATCTAAATAATTTTATTTTATTTAATAGTGTGTAGAGAATGTAACCCTAAAACTAACCTACCCCTTCCCTTTATATAGGGAGTGGTATCTTGTTCCCCAAGTCTGCCTGGAGAATTGACCCGGCTACCTTTGCTGCCCATTCGTACGTCTTGCAGTGCCTGCCGCACCTCATACTGTCCGGTGTCAGGGGTGCAGACAACCTAATCTCATCGTGACGCGTGGTCCAATCCTCGTACGATGTGATTTCTTAGATCGATGCCTTTTTATCTCTTTATGACGTAGACACTTGACCAGATCGAATATCTGTCCTGGCAGAATAGGCTCATCTCCAGTTCCACTGCCAATCAGATAGAGCGAGGTCGACTCAACCTCTTAGTCACCTAAGCTTAGGTGGAGCATGGGCTTCTTTAATGGTTGTATTCTTTGTCGGTGTGAATCAAGTTGCTTCATCAACCCGACCTGGTTGCTCGGTTCCCTTAAAAGGTTTGAGTTGATATTATATTCTATATCATCTAGTCCTTCCATTCTGGATAGAGCTAGCATAGCTTGGTCCTAGAGTAGGTTATTTTACCTTTACTATCAGTGTTTTATCGCTTTCCCATTGTTTTCGACCTGTTACGCAAGTCTTTGCCTATTTTTAGGCTTTTCGTTTTGTTTGTTCTCTCTTTGCACGTTTGAGATATGGGTTTTGTCGCTACTAGATCAACCAGGCTCTGCTTTTGGAATATTCGGGCTTCCCTTACCCTCTTCTGGATTCTCACATTCTTTCTTGATTTCAATCGTTTCCTTCCTATCCTGGCGGGGTTTTTAAATATTAAAATTCAAAATTTTATTTCCAGATTTTATCCATTACGTCTCTTATAAGTCACCGCCTCAACTGTCACGACCCCTTATACTCTGTGTCGCGACCCATCGTACTCTGTGCGTGTTCAGATCCTGCCATTAATGCACGTCTTTTCACCTCTTTCTTTTTCTCCTGACCGTTGATTTGGACCTTCATCGGGCGATTCGAAACGCTCAACCTTCCGAATGCAAGTATTGTTTCTTATAAATACCCCCCTTATTATGCCTTTTTTCCATTATTCCACATTTGCGTTATGTGCCTTCATTGCTAGCGTCTTCCCCCTGATGTCTAGTGCTCTTCAAGTTCTTGTCGCCGTTGTGCTCTGCTTCAGTGTTCCACCACTCGTAAACTCTATATCATGTCATCGCTCAGTAAATCGACTTACCTTTTCTTTTAATTATATATTTTGGTGTTATGCTTGCAGTTCTTGTGTGTTTTATTTTGATTTGAGGGAGAATTTGGTTCGTTTTCTTTTTGTCTTTTCAATGTTCACGCTTGCTTAAACCCCTCTGTTTCTCGTTGAGCCTTATTTCTCCAAACCCTAAGGCTTCCATTTTTCTTTACTAGGAAGATGCACGTGCTACGCACGTGATATTATTATTTTTTTAATTAAATTTATTTTATTATTAGATTAATTTAATAGTAGAATCTAGTTTCCTTTCCATTACTTAACAAAAAAAAATGGTGAATTTTATAAGAAACAATATTAAATATATTGAATAAAACAATATACTATTTAATATTATTAAACTAACTCTATGACAAATAACATTAAATAAATAAATATTGAGTTAGAAATCTAAAATAAAATTAATATTATTTTTGTGAAATTTTAAATGCTAAAGAAATTTTTGTCGTCTTTGATTTTATTATTTAATGATCTCGGCATTATGCTGAAAATAATGACATTACTATTGCCAATATAATATAGTTTTTTAATGTCTTTCTTTTTTGTGATACTCTTGAAAAATAACTCTTATTTGCTATAGCTATAATTTGTAATTATCATTTTTTTATTGTTGATTGTAAGTTAACACGCTATGGTTGAATGCTTTGTTCTTTATTATTTCAATTATACGGTTGCAAATTCAATTATCTTGCACTTGTAATATTAAGATATATATTTTCTCTCTTGATATAATGACATAAGAGATATAAATATTTGAAAATATCTTTAAAGTCGTAATAATTTAAAAAAAGAAAATTTATTTGATAATTATTTGGAACAATAACATCCTTGATTAATTAAAGGTACTTATCTATATATATATATATATATATATATATATA